GGCTTAAGGGGGAGGGTGACGATTTTCGAGTACGTGCGTGCTCGCGATCCGGACGTCGAATGGACGCGGGGATTAGGATTCGCATGCGCCGGAATGGACCGCGCCCTTTTCATCCACCCACTCTCCTCCATCCTTTCTCTTCGGCCTCTGTCTCGTTTCCACGATCGCCGCGCTACGATCCGGCGTGGAACGCGGAGAGAAGCCACGAGCCACGGCGTAATACTCGCCGTGTGCCACGTGTGCACCACAATGCGAGTTCCCACAGTCGAGTGGCCTGTGTACAACCCGACTATGGCCAGGTTAGGGCCTCGAGCCTTTGCGTTTTGTCATTCATCCCTCTTGGCAGGGGGGGAAAAGGGAGAAGCTGGAGGAGGGAGGGGACGTGGATGACCATCGTTCCCGAGAAGAAGGGACGAGAAGGGGGAGAATGCGAGATCTGGAGGATGAGACGGTTGGGAAGGAAAAGGAGCAAGGTTTGGAAAGGAAAAGGGAGCAACAGGGGGGTGTCTGTTTGGGGTGGTGGAAAGGAATGAATTTGTAGATATGAATAGATATGGAGAAGGGATAATTGAATTGTAGATTATCTAATCGCTGACAATCTGAAGGTTTCTGTAAGCTTTCGAATCTCTTCAAGAGGAATGTTCGAGAATATACGATAATAATAATTATGTTGAAGTTTGTTAAAATATATCGAGAGTATATCGCGATTTGAAATCAATAAAATATAAGAAATGTAACGAACATTCGGAATTCGATCCAATCCAACCAAGATTGAGAACCAAAAGGAAAAGATTATAGAACAGAAAAGATAGAACAAATCGAGTTTAATCTGCCTCATCCTGCCGGATGCAAGGAAGAATCTAAAAGAGTACTTATCAGTAACTGACAAAACTAGAATAACAAGAGAGAGGCAGAAACAAAGGAAAAGGAATAAAGTAGAGTGCGAAACGGTGAAAAAGCAAGCGGATAAAGGAGCACAAGTGTACAAGTGACAGAAATGGTCGGAGAACGAGAGCACGTGATGCACGTATGCGGGAGAACGAAAATTCGACTGTGCGCCACTGTGTATACTCTTCTCTGCACACGTATCTCTATATACACATGTATATGTGTACGTATGTGTACGTATGTGTGTGCTCGACCGTGCGTGGGGTCGGTGCTCACACGGGCCATGGATCACAGGGCTCACACTCTCTATCCTGCTAAACGGTAAACCGATCTGTGAACATTTCAGCAGTCAGCGATCTCCAAGGCTAATCCTCGAGTGAGTGGGGTTGATACATCGACTACCACCACCACCATCACCGACGGCCCTCGCCTTCACCACCATCAGCATCGCCATCAACGTTTCCGTGCCGTCGAGTTTAGCCGATTGGAGGGGCCGAATTCGCGATTCGTGTGTCGTACCCG